TTTCTAGTAATGGTAACGGACAACAACACCGCCTCCATAAGGCAGGAGGGCGCGCCGTCATCTATCAGGCGCACCAGCGAGGCAACTCGCTGGGCCGTAAAGCCAGACAAGAGGCGGGCTCTACTTCTTCTTTGGGGCCTTCTTCACGGCCTTCCTCGGCGCCTTCTTCGCCGCCTTCTTTGCCACGGGCTTCTTAACAGCCTTCTTGGCAGCTGGCTTCTTGGCTGCTGGCTTCTTGGCTGCCGGCTTCTTGGCTGCTGGCTTCTTGGCTGCTGGCTTCTTGGCTGCCGGCTTCTTGGCTGCCGGCTTCCTCGCCGCCTTCTTGGCAGTTGGCTTCCTCGCCGCCGCAGCCTTCTTCGCTGCCGCCTTGGTTGCAGCTGGCTTTGTTGTTCGTGTTGCCTTTGTCAGCGCGTGGTCTGCCGTTTCCTGTGACGTTGGTGGTGGTGATATAGTCGCCTGGACGATGGCCATAGCGGCAGCATCGGCGGAAGTTGGGGGTGTTGCCATTGCACGCTTTGTCTGTCGTCCTTCACGGTGACAATGACAATAAAAAAAAGTAACGAGGCATGCATGGGGAATGAGACATGAAGAATACGCTCGGTGGAGAAGGGTAATGAGGAGTTTCCGCGCGGAAGCAAAAGGAACCCAAAGGAAACGAAAAAAAAAATGACGTGCTGGTTGAAAGTACATATCCACAGCAAACTAAAGATTTTTGCGCGGCGTCGGCATGCATTCGCGGTCAGATAGTAAGCTAGAAAGTAAGTTCCTGTTGTTGTTTTGCTATTGCTTTGGTGGTAACTTGTTTTATTTTATTTTTTTTTTCACTGTTGCGTGTCGCGACCGGGACATGTCATCGAATGCCTGCATTCTACTAAATACAAAGTGAATTGGGGTGATGCAGTTTTCTTTCTTTCGTTTTGTTGCTCGTGGCAGTGCCTGCCTTCGTTTGTGCGTGTGCCCCGCACGAGGCAGTGAAGTACGCCGTATATGTACATTTAAGATGGGTAGACGTGCCTTGCAAGTCGTACTGCGGGTCCCTCGTTTGCGCCATCTTCGTGCTTGAAAAAAAAAACACTACCCCTCGCCCCCAATACCCACACACACGCACACACATAACAACGGTTTCCTAATGACCGGCGCCTGCGGCAGCAACGGCAAAATGAAGGCAAAAACAAACAGCGCAAAAAAAAAAGAGCCATGTATGAAATCATTGCTTTGTGACTACGCGAAACGGGTCCCTAGCCAATTCATTCTTCTTGGTGTTGTTCTTCTACTTATTCGGTTGCCCTCCAGCAGCATCGCTAATACTTCCCGCAGCATGTACACGGCAGTGTTGTCATGCGAGCCGTTCCCGCCACCCACAGCCACTTCCTATTGCATGACGCTTTTCTCTCGGTGAATATAACGCCGCACTCGATGCCAGAAACACAAACGACAGTAATAATGACAATGACGGACTACACCTGGTGGGCTCAGGCAGTTTGTGCCTTTTGTCTGCGGCGGGTATTAACACGGCGGAGCATTTCGATTTCACGCTCAATCTCGCCAATTTCCTGTTCCGCCGCCATCTGCTCCGTTTCCAACTCCTTCTTTTGGATGTTTATGTACTTTCGGTGGTTCCGTTCAATACGCTGCATCTCCTTCTTCATGTTGGCTGTTGTACGCACAAGCCCCACGCACCGACGATCCAGATCCACAATATTGGCGTCAAGCAGCTCCTGTTGGGCCTCACGCTTTTGATGCCGGAGGCCCAGGACAAGAATTTCCTTGCGCAATTGATCCACAATCTCGGCGTCAACACGCTCATCAGTAGATTCTTCGCGGGCAAGTGCATCGCCTATCATCTCGATGCGCCTCTCGAGCTTGGCAATCTGCATGGACCGGTGGCGAATGGAAATCTCGTTTTGCCGAAGGCCCTCCTCTTCCTTTTCCAGCCTGTGGAGCATCGTGCGTCTTTCGTTTTCGGCCCGCACAGCGATTTGTAGTTCGTCGACAGGCTTCTCATTCTCAAGTTGTTTCTCCTTCCGCTCTAAAAGGCGCCGCATAGACTGCACCTCTTCACGGATGCCTTCCAACTCAGCCCTCTTTTCATTGAGCTGCTGTGCTGCTCGCTCGCGTTGCTCGTCGAGTTCCTTGGAGGCAACCAGCTTAGTCACATACTCCCGCATGTGCTCCGTTTGCCGCTTCAGGGTCGCTTGCACGGCCTCACGGGCGCGGAGTTCCTGCAGAATTTCGTACTTCAGTCCATTCATGTGGGCAGCTTCCTCAATTGTGTCCCTCAAATGGAAAAGTGTTTCCCCCTCGGTGTAGCCAATACGTTGCTTCAGATGCGTGTTGAGGGTGTTTGCCTCCACTGTGTCTGCAGCGGAGCCCTCCAGGATGGTCTGAAGTTGCTTCAGCTCCTTCAATAGCCTCTTTTCTTCCCGCAGCAGCAGGGTGACATCCCCGGCCCTGGAATTCAGCTCACCAACCGCCTCGATGGGAAGAGCGAGGGTGCGGGCCTGGACTTTTTTCGTCCCCCCAGCGGCCTCCGACGGGGGCGCGGTTAACGCCCGTGCGTCCCGCTCCCTGAGACGATGCGTCTTCTCCAGCAGTGTCACCTTCTCGCGAAGCACACGGCATTCCTCGTCGGCCTTGAGGAGAGTCTTGACTAAATCCGCCGTCTCCATTGTCTCTCGCTCCTTCCAAACGCACTCGCCCGATTTATATGTATATCCCTCGCTCCACTTCCCACTCCCTATGACTTTGTTTGCCGAGAATGTTGGCCTCTGCCGTTGTTTATTTGGCTTCTCTCTCTCTCTCTCTCTGCGGGGTAGTGGTTCGTGAGGGACATGGGAATTTGTGGATTGCAAGGGGGCACAGCCGATTTAAAAAAAAGCCAGAAAAAGAACACGGGGAAAAGACAGCACACAATGCAGAAGTATTAAGCAGTGGTCTCGCTATTTTATGCTCAAGCAGATGGAGGAAACTTGTTCGAGATCATCACACTTTGTTTGCTTGGCGTGTTTCTCTCTCTCTCTCTCTCTCTCTCTCTCTCTTCCTTGCGTGTGCGTGTTTGCCTGTTCTTGTGCATCGTACCTCCCTCCCTTTTCCACTTTGAATGGGCTTGCCGGGGGCCGACACACGCAGCCGCACAAATACATGCAGGCAACGGCAGGAGGATGCGGTCCACGCGGAAGCGGGGCACGATGCCCCCCGATACCTACACGTCCAATGCCACGGAGCATCCTCAGGGTTCCTTCTTGGAAGAAGGGTCATTTTCATATGATGCAACGTCACCCAGACTTTCCTTATCGGACTTCCCGGCGGCTTGTTTGCTTCGTGCGTGTTGTCTAACAACCTCCTCCGCAGCCCTCACACCTTGCTGCACGGCTTGCGCCGCCTCCTCATCGCGATGCAGCCTGTTCACATCGGTACAAACCTTTTCAGGCTTTTCCCCTTTATCCGTGAATCTCTTTGGTGGTGACTTGGGCCCATGCCCCTTCGTGTGAGGAAATCGAAAGACGTCATTCTTCAAGATGTCGTCCTCATGCACCTCGACACGACTGTCGTCGTTTAGGTCCTTGTTCTGCCGGAGCACAGACATAAACTCGTCGTAGTGGCCGCGGGGATCCGTAAATCCCTTTGCTCCCTGAGCCTGGGAAAGGGTAAAGTTGAACTCCGCAGCCTCACGCATCTGCTTCCGCGTTTGCTCCTCGTTCGCGGAGAGCCGCTCATTATACACTGGGACGCCGTGAATGGTGTCCACGGCGCGTTTGATGCGGCGTGTCCTGTCAAGCCACCACTGGAACTTTGCCTGGTTGCGGTCGTCCTTGCCAAAATCGGCGGCATACACGTGCTTGTACACTTGCCGCCGCGTCCCGTAGGGCTTTGGTTTGATGCCCAACACTTCAGGTTTTTCAAGAAGCTCCTCCTCCGTGAAGGCGGCGACGCCGGCCTCCAACTCTTGCGTGCGACGCTCCTCCAGGAGGTCTTCCATTTCATTTGCCTGTGCTGCACGCTCTCGTCTCTTTTTCTCCCGCAAGCTGGCTCCTAAGGCATCAAGCGACTTCACACCACGAGTTCGGTTGTTGAGATATTGCTCCTCTTGCAGCACCTCCTCTTCGCTGTAGCCAATCTTGCGTAAGATTTCTTCCTCGCGCGCCCGCTCAAGCTGTTCCTTGCGTGCCGCAATGTGCGTGTTGGCGTCCTCGATAGTTTTATGCAGTTTCCCCTTGTAGTTGCGGTACTGCATGCGTGGAAGCTCCACCGTGTCTAGAATGTCTTGTAGCACATCTCTCTCCAGTTTTGTGGAGGGCAAAAGCGCATCCACGCCCTTTTTGCGCTGCTCAGCAGCAAGCACCCACCTTAAATCCTCGTCGTCTATGCGGCCACGCACCAAGGCGTAGGGCTCAAACTTGTCCCGCTCCCAGGAAAGCGGCAGGTTGCCGCTGATGATAACCTGGTCCGTGCGTTGGTTGTCCACCATCTCCATGTAGGTGTTCAGGTACCAGCGGGGGGCGGTGTGGTCCGTCAGCTCCGTGCTGCTCGCATCCTTCGACGTCTCGACGTACATGAGCGGCTCCGTGTTGACGTCGTCGAGGCGCCTGTTGATGCCCTGGGCGGTGAACTCCGGCTTCTTGAACTGCTGCTCCACCGGAGTCCTGTCGACGCGCGGAAGCTGCTTCGCGACGTACCGCACGGGCGCCTCACGCACCGGCCTACTCTTCGCGGCCCCCATCGCGCAACAGAGGCGGTGGACCACCTCCTTCCCGCGGCTTGCAGCACAGGGGGGGAGGGGGGGGGGCGCACGCACAACGGCACCAGCAACAAAGAAAACGAGGAGGAGAAGGCACGCAGAAGTTGAGAATGAAACACCAAGCAAAGAACCGCCGCGCAAGAGGAAGGAAACAAAAAAAAAAGAGAGAGAAAGAAAGAAAGAAAGGAAGAGAAACAATTCATGGCAACCCTCAGACGCCAACACCGCGGCCACGCAGGAGAGCGGCGGGGCCCTGAGGCAACGCACCTGTTAGGGAAAGCTTCCCTGCCCCTGAAGACGCCAAAGGGAAAAGAGGCCAGCAAGACTCACGCCGTGTCGCTGCTGCCTTTCGGACCATCTTTCAAACGTGTGCCGCGGCTGAGAGGGTACCGCTTCTCCAGGCGGGATAACACGCATCTTCCGAAAATGCGAGCCAATTGAAACAACCAGAGCAAGAGGACGACGAGGCGGAGGGTCACAGTAAACCCACGGAACGGATAGCGCTTATTCTTGTCCCCCGTATCATATTCATCCGTTCGAAGTAGCCACTCCATGTACGTCTCCTCCTTCACAAAACGCATGGCGTTGGGCAGCCGCCCACTCCCTGTCGGCGGCCCTTGGATCACCTTTGCTCTGCGGAGCAGCAAATACGTATTCCAAATGTGCTGCTGCATCAGCATCATGCATGGAGGATCTAGGTGAACCCCGTCGGAGAGCGTACAGTATGTAGAATTGCACTTAAAGAAATGCTGGGTTGGAATCACAGGGATATTTAACTGCCAGGCCATTGCCGCGAGCACACGCCGATACAATGGCACCACAACCGGTGCGGCCAAGTCCTCACATCTTTTAAACATGTTGGCTCGCCCAGTAAAACGACTGGCAGAACAATTAAGCGGTAACTGCTCAAGAAACATGAGAACGGGACGGTGATGCACCGGCTTCTGCTGTAATGCATGCTGGATAGCCTCCATCAGCTTCTGAACATGACGAGCCCAATAGTTAACTGCGGTGGGAAGGTGACGCACAGGCCCGCCCAGGTGAGGAACCTTGTTCCGGTTGTTGATTTGCCAGTTGAGGTCCCAGGTGCCTAGGTAGAGCACGACCACGCAGTCGCCACCCGCCCGCCGAATGGTGTCGACAATCAGCGGCAGTGACAAGCTTATGTAACGCAGCTTAAGAAAATGCACCGTGGAATTCCTCAATTCATCCGAGGCGGCGGCAACGGAAGCTGCACTGGACCCCACCCGCGTGTACACTGTCGTGTTCGGCAACGCAACCTCCCTCCGCCAAAGCGCGACGCCCAGCGCGACATGCTCCGACACCTCGGCAATCCTGCTGTACCCATCGATGCGCAAGAATGGCCAAAACGCATTCACGGCATACACAAAATTCCTGTAGGCAATGCTGTCACCGACAAAAAAAAATGGCTCCTCGGCTTGCTAAAGAAGACCTCTTGCTGCAGCTCCTTGACATCCATCGCGCGAAACCCGCAAGGGTTTTCCCGCCAGCAAAACTCGGAGATGTTCACCGGGTGCACATACTGGTCCATGTGCCGCACGCACCACCCCCACGACGGCTGCGCATCCTCCCCGGGGATGCCAGCGTCACCGGGGAACTCGGCAACAAGCACCAGGCTGACCAAACAGAGGCTACAAATAAAGAAACGGCGTCCTCTCATTCGGCTGCGAACTCGCTGCCATGCCACCTTCCACTGCAGCTGCCCCAAAAACAAAAACAAAAACAAAAAGCGGTAACAAAAAGTCAAATAACACCTTTGCACCACCACGCCCACTGACGAAGATGGCACCGCACACAAGCAAAAAATAGAAAACCTGCCAAAGGCGCTTCAAAGTACAGCGCCAAGCGAAAAAAAACAACAACAACATATACACACACACGACAAGAAAAAAAAAAACTAAAACAAACGTACAGCATTTGAAAAGCAGAAAAACAGCAGGTGCAGAAGCAAATCAAACAAAACCACCAAAAGCCGAACCAAGTACACCTTACAAACGGTAGTGAAAAGTGCGGAAACAGATACATTACCAGTAAAAACAAAAACAAAAACGCTCTTAAACAAAGGCAATCATAACATAAAAACACACAGGAAAAAAACCTACTTCCTCTTCGGGGCTTTCTTCTTCGCAGCCTTCCTGGCAGCCGGCTTCTTCGCCGCCTTCTTGGCTGCAGTCTTCCTCGCAGGCTTCTTGGCTGCAGTCTTCCTCGCAGCCTTCTTAGCAGCTGGCTTCCTCGCAGCCTTCTTGGCTGCAGGCTTCCTCGCCGCCGCAGCCTTCTTCGGGGAGGCCTTCCTGGGTGAAGTCTTCTTCACGGGCGAAGCAACAGCCACAGCGTCCGACATGTTTCTTTCCCTTTTCTTGTTTTCTTGTGTCGAGTTCTTTTCGTGCACAGTCAGCAGGCTCTTCCACACAAAGAAACGGCAGGGGGAGCAGTACCCAGACGGCACGCGGCGCATGAGAGTGCAGCAAAATACACACCTGCGGCGCACCACGCAGGGGAAAAGACACACACGAAAACATCTTCAATCCCATACAGAATCTATGATGCATCGCCACAACACCGCCGCGGAGGCGCCAGCGGCGCACGACCCGGGNGAAGGGCAACCGCAGCTCACCATCACTGGCGATGG